TTCCCACGGGACTAAAAGACTGCACAGCCCCTCTCAGCCGCACAGCCTCCCCCAGCAGCACTACCAGACTCTTCAGGTGAAGTATTGTTGCTATAATATCTCTTGCATATAAAAAAAAAAAAAAGAAATGGTATAAGATTTGGCGTTTTTAACAAAACCTGTTGGTTTGTGTGACTAAGTTGTACCTGTCTAATAATTACCATCCTGAGTTTTAAATGCTTCTGTGTCGCTGATTGGAAGCTAACAGGTGTTTAATAACTCATTTGCCATATATAATTACAGCCTAATGCGCATGAAATGATGCACACCTACAAACGTCTGCGTTATTAATGAAGCACCTGGGAAAATCACATTTGGATATTAAAGCTCAATTTGAAGGTGTGAAGTTATCATTTGGTGATGGAGCTTCACTGAAGCTTATAACAGGCATGTGCAAAATCATATTGTTATTTTCTCAGACTGTACAGCAGCACCTCCACCATGAAATTTGTTTTCTTTATTCAGGGTCACAAACCACAAGAATATTTTATTTTTTTTAAACATTATTTCAGGATTGAAAAGCTCTTTCCTATCATTGATCAAATGTAACAATGGGTGATGGTTACTTAAAATGTCAGTTTTTTAGTATAGCTATTGCAGTGATGATCAAATATTAAATATATTAATCTTTTTTAATTTATCGGATAGGGTGAGTAGGCCTCACTTTGGCGCTCTTTTGGAGAGATTGAGGAACTTGATCACCACAGACAGCCAGAGACTCCTTCACACTCCTTCAAACTGCCGCCATACCTCACAATGTCAAGGACTAGTAGAAAAAAATCTTAAATCCAGATTGTGATTCAGATCACTACCATAATTAAACAGGATCTAAGTTAGACAAGGACACACCTGTGATATAAAACTCAGAGCAATCTGTCACTGACTTTTTCTGCAATCTTCCTAACCAACAAAACAATATTACTGAAACATTACCTGGTAGTTGGTTCAGGATTCATTGATGCTCCTATGGAAACAATAGAGGTAAAATAGTTTAAACAAAAGGTAAACATTATTATGTGCAGAATTACATTTACCAAGGACTGCTTGGATGCTATATTTGGTATATTATAACTCATTCTATATATTTAGCCAGGAACTCTAACCTTAAGAAACAAACCAGATGTATATCCTTGTGTATGGGCCTTTGACTCATCGAGTTCCAGTATCCTGCAAAAATTACGTCTCTCTGCTTCAGCACACCTGTCAAATGAGCCTGTCATTAAGCAGGACTCTGGAGAACTTGGCTCAATCCAGATAGAGCAAATCAGAACACGGAGCTCTTCATCCTTCACCTATCATCAGTTACTGGACTGATGTATAGTAACCGTCCCATCATAACGCAGTGGAAATGCACATGGATGATGCTTTTCAGATTGAGGCCTACAGCCTTCCAAAAGAGAACTACAAACATATGCAAATTGCACAAATGAAGATAATGGCTAAAACCCTAAATTTTTTTAAATGTAGGCCCTCTGAAATGCAATTTCTTACATTTTGAGGTTGAATATCATAAGGAAGATATGAAATAATTTGCAGGTACAATATTATGTTTCATAGGTTAATTCAAACAATCAGAAAGTGTAACTTAAACTTACTGCTAAAGGTGAAACTTGATTGTTTCATATACAAGTCGAACGATGACGAACAGAAACAGTCTTCAACACAATCTGCAAAAAAGTGTCAGGACGGCTTTTATTTCAGTGTATTTACAGCTGACACTGAAACTAATCTCAAACTTGATTGTCACATTTTCATATATTTTAGTACATTTTTTAAATGTAAGGTGTTACACAAGCAGGTGTGTTGCACCGTAGGGCAGTTATACCAGTTGTTAATGTCCAAAGGGCAAGCCTGTTTGCAGGTGTCACAGAGTTGACATTTATGTTTTGTAATTTCTGTAAGGATTGTGGTATACCTTATAGTGGAACCAGAAAGGAATGTTGTGAACTTCTTATGTTATGATAGGAAAACATGAAGGCTCCTTTCCCTGCTTCCTTCTTTACTGCCAGCACCATTTGGACAGCACTGATTGGCTTTGGCTTAAGAGTCCTGACCAACTGGATATATTCACACTTAGTCAGAAAATGTCTGAAGAGTGTGCATTAATCATAATACTAGGGCTGCAACTAAGGATTATTATACAAATTGATTAATCTGTCCACTATTTTTTCTATTAATCAATTAATAATCGGATAACATAAGGTATCTTAAAGAAGATGTTTTACTAAATTAAACCAGGTGAAACTAAAACTTTTCCACTTGAGGAGTTCTAGATGGAGCATTTTGAAAGACAAAAGTTTTTTTATTTATATATTTTTTTATATATTTGTTTTTACAATTTTGATATAATTACTGCTCTAAGTTTATATTTCATTTAAATGTATATTTTACAGTCTCTATACTATTGATTAAAATTGATTAATCAGATTGTTTCTGCCCTATATATTGCCATTGCTAGTTTTACAAGCTGAGTCCCAAATTAAACAAACAGCTTTTGAAATGTACTAAATTAAATCAGTGTTTATCACATGAAAACTGACACTTCTGCATTGTCCTACTATATGACATATAAGCAGAAAAACCTTTAACTTTCACTGTAGCTCGACCTGAGCTCATACTTATTCAGTACAAGCATTTCTACCTTAGGATTGGATTTATTGTGAAAATGCAAATCTTTTTTTTTTTTTTTTCTAAAGTGCAAATCTTTTATTTATTTATTTTTTTGTCAAACCAATTCCAATTTGTTTATAATTAATATTTACTTTTTATTATTGTGAAGCATAACTTAAATTTGAAAATGACATGTTTCTATTTTTTTAAATTAATGGCAGTTCTAAAAAAAACAATCTATTGGAGCACCTGAATTTATTTTTAACCATTTAACAAATCTGTACTTTTTTATATTTATAAAAAACTCAGTCCCCAGTTTGTCTGCTAATTAGGCTGATTTATATTTGATTGGGCTCTGGACATGAGCCAGGCAAAGAGGGATAAATGAGCTGTAAGTCTAGTTACATCCATCAATCCCGTCTCTTTATGCATTTCAGGTTGACATTAATGTGCCTTGCTGGAAAGAGAGACAGAGCTGTGAGCACTGAATATCTGCTTAAGTGTGAAGGCCTGTCTGTCACAAGTTTTTAAGTGTTAAGAGCTGGTTTTAGAAAATATTGGATTTTCAGTGGTTAGTTGTGAAAAGATGCACAACTTTGGCCACCAGGCAAATCATCAGTTCACTTTTAATTTGTTTTAGCTGAATTCTTTAAATCCAAGTGTACAAAGCTTCATTTCTTATATCCCTTGATGTAGGGATTGTCTTAGTCAAATCATAAGCAATCAGCCAACACTCAAAATTAATTGCTTGCTCCTTGAGGTCCTGAGCCAACTTCTATTGTTAGACTTACCACTGCATTGCCTTCAGTGGGTTGTAATGTTCAACAGCACTAAACCTTCAAATAATTTAAGCACTTTCTAGTTTCTAAGTGATTTGTTTTTCTAGACCAGACCCCCGTCCCTACTGGTTTTTGCTAGTTCAATGTTTTAAGCATGTCAGCTCTATATTTGTCATATTTTGAATTCATTCTGTAAAGTTAGAATTAAAAGTATTGATGACCTTGGAAATGGACATTTCAGCCTGGAAAAGTAATATATTTTTTTTTACATGGAATGTGTGTATAACATGCTTTCTAAAAATAAGGAATTACAGATGTATAAGCTCAAGAACTCAGAATATGACGGAGTTTGGTCTTGATATAAAGGCTGATTTTAAAATGGTTGCAGATGGAGATGACTCAAGTGGAATCCACTCGACGATCTGTCCGACATGGCAACAGGGGCCGAGGTCGGTTGCTCAGCTTTCCTTTGGCACAAGGGTCTGAGAAGGTGGACGGCTGCCCCCTACAACCTGCCCCAAGGAAAAAGACACGGACTCTCTACAGCACAGGTGGACCAAGTCTGGTTTTGGATTCAGTCACTCAGAAAACTGTACCCACCTTTGGTAAAGTACGATATATGATGGAATAATTTCAGATTTTTTTATTATTATTATTAATTTTCAGATTTTTCTTATTTTTTTCTGCACTTTCCTAGCCTGTAGAGATTCTCTCCAGGGTTTCATTGTATTCATGATCTTAAAAGCTTGCTTGTGCAGAGTCCATTGTTGCAGGACTTTACTGTTACTGTGGCCTTGAAAAGTGCTTATTTTTCTTGCATATTGTAAAGATGCTGGCATCCAGTATTACTTCTATAAATAGTGCACTGCTGTGTGTGTGTGGCGTTAAAATTCTCCCTCTGTACATATGTGTTGCTTTGGGGTTTTTGAACTATTCATACTTGATCCTGATGGTGTTTGCCTGTAGATCAGTGTTGTAACAATTAATCAAATCAACCATGATCAATTAATCAATTATTGAAATAATTGTTAACTAATTTATTAATTGATTAATCGTTAACTTGAGTATAGAGACTCTTAAAACATGCCTTTAGCTGACTGAACAACCCACTTATAGCAGTAAATGTATTTTTTCTCTGCTATCCAGAACTCCACAAGTGGAACAGTTTTAGTTTCTCTCTGTTTAATTCTGTAAAAAAAAAAAAATGTCATCCTTTTGAAACCTTTTGCTATCAAATCATTAATCGACACAAAAATAAAGAGATTTATCGATTAGCAGAACAATCTTTAGTTGCAGCCCTAAAATAGATAATGGTATGACCGATCACAAGAAAAAGAAATTCAGAATATTTAGTTAATTATTATTGTTGTTGTGATTGTTTCTGTTATTATCGTCATCAGTAAATTTTCTGTTTAACAATTATCACATGTGCTGGTCTTTCATGTGAAATCATTGTTTAAAATGTCTAATTAGAAAATACAAAAACATTCAAGTCCTAAACCCTTTTTGAGGTCCACTGTTTGAGTCATGCTGAAGTGCTTGTCAATTAGCTGATATGTCCTTGCTTGGGAGTTTCAGACCAGCTGGGACGTTTAGAGGCCATGTTCCAGGAGGATCACTATCCTGATGCAGAGAAGAGGAAAATTATTGCTGCGTCAGTTGGGGTCACTCCTCAGAGAATTATGGTCAGACCATCTTATCTTCTTTTGGTATCCAGAAACTCTAGTTAAAACATCCATTATGTTATCTACCTATTACAAAGAAGAACAGATCATTAAAACACAGAAAACATTTCTCTTTATTGTGTTATAGCCACACTTGCCATCCTGTTCTAGTCATTTTCCATGTTTACATCAGGCTTTCCCTGAAATTCATTGAATCCCATTCTTCTCCATGTTTCTGTTTTTCGTTAGGTTTGGTTTCAGAACCGCAGGGCAAAGTGGAGAAAAGGGAATTCAATTACAGCAAAGGCTGAACCGGCACTGAGTAGAGCTGAATACAGTTTGAATAGTCCAAATCACAAAATCGATTCCCAATTAACCATGCTGACAACCACCAGGTACTCCAAAAAAAGCTCAAAGTGCCGTAAATAGTATTTTAGGTAATTTCTTGTGAAGCTCATTAAATATGGTGGATTTTTTTTCGGTTTAGGAAAGGAGTGCCTTCTTTTTCTGGTCACCTTACTGCTTCGCTGCCACAGATTGTCACTGCAGCTGCTTTTCCCACCATGTCCACGCAGACCACACCCTCCTATAGTAAGCTAGTGGACAGCATTAACAGCCCAGGTATGTAAACATCTACTAATAAAACATTATTGTTCATGTAAGAATCTATGTTTAATGATTTATTTTCCTATTACATTTTATTTTTATTTATTTTTTATTTTTTCAATTTAAATCAATCTATGCACCTTTAAAGTTCTTTAAATGTGGGTTTATTAATTAATGATTGCTTTCCAACCCAACTCTGACTGATTGTATTAAAAAAATAACCTCTGCCCATTATTTTAGCCACCAGTTCCAACAGTGTTTGACTTTATATATTTAATAAAATAATATTTTAAGCTGTTTTAGCTGCATTTTTAAATTTTTTAGGCAGGTGGTAAGAAACTGCATTACTCAAAGAAGGGCGTTTCTCTCTATTCCGCTTTTAAGGATAAGAAAATATTCCTCTTAAAAAGACGTCTAAAACCTGGTTAGGCTTTAGCTTTGAATATTTCATTGGTTGTTCATCTGCCCGCCGTATCACATCTTTAGGCTTTGTGCGGAGTAGCGATGCGGGGGTGTCCTCCCCCGATTTAGACTGAAACATTATTTCCTGTATTTTGAGGTTAAATGCTGCTAGCATTTTGTCTTGGTTACAACATTACTATTGTCCTCATTATAGGAATTATATGTGCTTGTCTAGAGGTGGAAATTTCACAAAGAAGAGATGAGATTATTTCTAGGTACAATATTATATTTCATAGCCTAATTAAATTGATGAGAAAATGTAACCTAAACTTACTGCTAAAGCTGAAACTTGATTGTTACATAACAAAAACAAGTTGAACAACAATGACAAACTGAAGCCCTCTTCAACACGATCTGCAAATCCAACATAGGAAAAAGTGCCAGGACTTTTATATAGGTGTATTTAAAGCTGACACTGTAAATAATCTGAAACTTGATTGTCACATTTTCATATATCGTAGTACATTTTGTCAATGTAAGCTGAAGTGTAATGCTATGTTCACACTGGACGCTCTTCAAGCAGCAGAAGCAGCCAGTTTCCAACTCCAGCAGATGCTGGTGTTGGAAAAATAAAGTTTTTACTGCTCGATGCGCCACATCAACCAATCAGAAAAGCTGACCTGGGAGCTGGCAGGGAGAGGGACAGTGCTGATGTTGTAATAGAAAAGCGTTCAGATAATTTATATTTTTAACTGCTTCTTTCTACTCTGTGTATGCTTATAATGCCGCTTATTTCCTTGTTAATGACAGCGATAATAATGATATACCCTTCAAGTCATTAAAGGACACTACACAATCAAAGACTGTAAAGAAATTTGAAATGTTGTTAAGATACATGGAGTATTATTTCTTTTTTTTTTATTTTTTAGTCCTAAATATAATACATAATAATTAATTATTATCACTGTATGTAATGCAGATGATGTATTTTTTTCATTTATTTTATCTTCCAGGTCAGGTTAGAAGAAGAGAAACAAGAAATTTTCCAGAGTATCATCACCCACGTCCCATGCAGAGTCCCCCCCCTCTGAGACGAGCCAGCCTTCCTCTGTTTCCTGCTATGTTTAACTCTGTAAGCCCCAATCCTTCTCTCCTCAACACCCCTGCCCAAACCCCACCTCTCTTCCTTGATGCTCTGGATGGCGATGCCTCTTTAGCCCATTATGACGCCCACTCTCAACAAAATGACACCAGGTGAGTTTAAAATGGTAAGCTTCGTTGTGGGCACTAAAGATTACTTCAAATATAAAGAAATGCAGTAACTGATGGGGAGACTGGCCGTAGGCAGAGAAAGATCCTGTATGTCGATGGCTCATGCAGAGTCAGTTGTAAGAGAGAGCCAGTGACAGCTGGTGGTCTGAGCATCTTCAGAAGTCACACAGTGAGGCTGTTGTAGTTAATAAATTGGTTTGAATAAAATTATCTTTGTTTTACACCAACTGGAGTTTCCACCAGTGAAATGGAAAACAGACGCAAAAACCCAGTTTTACAGAAATAAATCCATCAATTGACCATAATTACAGATGTTGTAAGCACTTTGTAAAAAGGAAAAAAAAAACAGATGTAGAATTTTGAAAGTTCAAAATATGTTTTAATTGCAGCTTTGGGATATATATTGTTGCTTTAAATGAACACAAAAAAGATTATGCTGTTCCCCGGAGTGGTAAGGGGAAACACTTTAGAGAAGAAGAATTAAGCTTGTCCAGTCTAACCCCAATGTTACCCACAAAGTTCTCAAAACTGTAGCTGCTGAGTTTCTTGGACTGATGCAATTTTAAGTTTAAGTCTTGCCATGCTTTTTTGGCAGCACTGATATATTCATTTAAATTTGTTTATGTGTTTACTGTGATTGTCCTTAGCTTGCTCTATGAATTTGCGGAGAAGCTGAGCCAGCAGAGTGGCTCCATGTCGTATCAGCTTCAAAGCTCCTTTTCTACCAGCCAGCATCAGCCTCAAACATCTGTATCCCACATGGCCTACCTTACTCCATCGCCCTACCTTACACCCAACCCTCCAGATTCCAATCCTGCCTCCTACCTGACCTTTGGACCAGGGGGAAGCTCAACTGGACTTGTTACATACTCTACAGGTGGTAACACCTACCTTCAGCCCCAGAGCACCGGACAGATCCTGCTACAGACAGCTGGTCGCCATGGTGAGGCGGAAATGAATGAAATCTAGCATTGAATATGCATGAATGTTTTTAAATGTTTTAAAGTTTAGCTGTGTCAAGCCTCCGAATCCTCACAGCTTTTAAATCACAAATAATGAAATCTAATTCAGTTCAGTTTTAATTCAAGAGCCACAGCTGGTGTTTGCTATTAATTCCTGCAAACAAAGTCAGTGTTGGCAAATTCCTGATGCTGTGATGGGTTGGTCCCTGTATCCTGGATAACCTACACATCTGTGAACACACTGAGATAGGGGTTGTTAAGCAGCATATGGTTCTACATCTGTAACCACTCTGAATAACCCAAGAGACAAAAATGTCCTGAGGAGGCTTTGGTTTCTTTCATGTTTTTAGGCTGAAAAATAGGGCACATTACAAAACACTATCGTTTCAGTGAGAAAAAAAGTTTATATATTTATCCGATCCATCCAACCTGGTTACTTTTATTTAACCATAAAAAACAATGATGTTAAAAATCTCCATCAGTTACTGAAAAACCTGAGTACATGATATGCTAATTTTACTCAGAGCTATTGTACAACATGAATCCTCTATCAGCAGGAGCATAGCCAACAGAAGACGGTGATGTTACTTCAGTGATAAACTCCCTTAAACAAAGGGTTTTATGTGCATTGGGAATAATAAGAAAAGGACTGGGGCATCATGATAGACAGTGCTATGAGGCAGTTAAATGAAAACTGCTGCTCTGGATGTTCATTTTGTCAATTTAAAGCTAACTTTTAAAGTTTCCATTGTTTTTTCTTTTCCCTTTTACAGGTGGGATGACATATCAGACATATCCATGGAGTAATATGTACAATCAGCCAGCCATCCACCAGCATAACCTATGCCCTCCCACATACTCAGCCTGCTTTGGATCTGTTCAAGACCGTCAGATCGCCTCTACCTCCAGCCTGCCTCTACATTCTGTATTCCAGGTTGGCGAGCATAACCCATCACTTCCTACCTCACAGCAGGCAGCGGAGGTCCAGCTACAGTCTGCCACCACTACCACCACCACCAACTCTATCCTCCCACCTGTGTCAACTCTGCCACCCTCCTGTACTGAGGGTCCATCACTGCTTCCCTCTCAGGTCAGATCCACGTCTCCTGAAAGCCCTCCAGCACCCTCTTGTGTCAAATTGGAGTATGACAGCCCTCGAGAGATTCACAGCCACTTCCAGTGTGATTTCTCCCCAATACATTTCTGAATCCCAGGTTTGAGTTTAATTTGTGTTTGAAGTGTGTGTAAATAATTTTTTGTTTCTTTGTATTACTGATAGAGACTTCTAACTGGGAAAGTTGTTATCTCCAGGCTCCATTTGGGCTGCATTAAGCTAAGCTTTAATAAATACAAATGGTGAGGTTCATTTTTTTTACAGTTTCCAACTTCCTTTAAACTTTAAACAATAGCTTCTGACAAATGCTTATATCTCAGATTTGTTTTGGACCATCATTGCACGACTTGTTTCTTTTCTGTCGATGTGAGCAGTCATGCACGCTTTCTTGTTTTATCTTGAGCATCACGGACAAAAAAAATCCTGATACTGTGCAAGAACACGGTAAATGGACAAGAAAGAAAGGTGTGAGCAAATATAAAAGGGAAACTTTATTTTGAATTGGAATTTTATTTGGATTCAAACATAAATGTTAGAATGTGTAAACTTTTAGTAAAAATACATAATCTATCGCGTGAGGCAAACTGATTGTAGAAAATAAGGTTATTTATTAAAGTAATGGCAATATCAAAACAAATGTCTAAATCATCTACATAATTGGAAAACGGCTTAAAAACAAAGTTTATTTTCTCATAAATGTGGAGCCTTTAACCTAGTGGATATGATCTTTAAATTGAATGATGTATGGACCAAGCTTTAGTCAGTACACATCAATCAGCCAACGGCTTACATCAAAACATATATGGAGGAATCCGAATGGTTCACCTGGAATGCAAACAGCAGAAAAATGTTTCTTTTGAAAATTTACCTGGTCAAAAAAAATAAATTAGAGGTAAAAAACTTATGAAGGGTGCAGCTTTAGACTGAAAGCTATGCATCAGTCTGGTTTTGCTGTTGATGCTGTTGTAGCATTTAACAGCTGGCAGCAGTTCAAAAAGTTCATAAAACAGTATGAACTATAATGACTTTGTTCAGAAATTCAGGAAAATCTCCAACAAATCTTGGACTGAGAAGAGAGACTTACCCATAACCCTTTCATTTCTCTTTGCTGTCATCTGCAAGACTGTTTTGTCTACCATGTCGCTGCTTGGGTTCCACACTGGATGCATCGTGTTTACAGGATGTATAAACAAGCTCTGCAGAATATTAAGGATGGTGGCAGGAAGCTATGCTCAGAAAGTGCAAACGAGTGTTCTTCAACCTGCTGAGCTCATCAGGATCTGCATGCAGAGGAATTAAGAATGTTCTACTGAGAAATCATCTTCTACAAAACATTTTATTTTAGACTAAAGCATCCTCTGACTACAATGGTGCTAAGAATTATTCGGCTAGAATGCAATAAACAAAGTACACAATAGTTAAGATAATCCTAAAACAAAAATGAAACAACTCTGTGTTTTTACTGTTTGTATTATCTGAATTATCTTATCCAAGTTCAATACATAATCCTACATTTAAAATTAGTCAGAAATCTTCATAAGAACACTCATGGTTTAATCAGGGGTGCTTGGGTAGTAACACTTCAAAGAGTTAAACAGTTAAGACACAATCTAAAGAAAACCCCCAAAAGCTCAGGGAATAGAGTTTTTTTTCTTGCATAAAGAAGGAAATGCAGAAGAAAAAAAAAAGCAATAACCACAAATGTTCCTGGAGACACAACTGGAAGCAGAGCTCACAAGTGTAGAATTACAGGAACAATGGGTACATGGATGTGACAAAAAGGGGAAACTATCAACTGCTGCCTCACTGCAAAAGCCCTACAGCAGTACTTGGTGGCAGCAGACTCTGAGGTTTCAGTTTCCATAGTAACTAAGCATTGAAGGCCTCCATTCCTGATCTCCATGGGGTTTATCCCTATCAAAAGAACCAGAACAGTTAGCTTCAGTTAGTTTATACATAATAAACAAACCAAAGATGATCTAAGATTATGTTCTGTGAAGCAGGGAATCAAAAGTAAATGTTTTCAGGCCTGCTGATCAATAGGTTTGGAGAAGAAAGATGGAAGCACATATGGAGGACGCTATGCCTACAGGAAAGCATGGTGGTGGCTCAGTGATTCTGTGGGGTAGGAAACATGCAACATGTGTGTGGAGGAGCAGAAAGTTGGACATTAAACCTTTTAACAGAAAATTATTTTAAACATGTATTAACTGCAGGCTTGGTTTCAGAAAAATATTGCCCATCATAAGCTGTGTTTTCATTCTAATATATTGTTTAATATTAAAATTCCACCTATTTAAGTTAATTACTGGTTAATTTGACTTCAGCCGGCTTGCCAGCAGGTTCACCTGACGGTTTCCTAAAGAATATTTCCTGTTGGATTTGAAAGAAGCATCTGCAGCACAGAATCCATAAAGAGGGCTGCAGGAAAGTCAGAAGCTGCTGTTGGGACAGAAACCATTTTATGCTTTTCATCACATCCACAGGGTGCTTTGTTTAATGCTAAAGATGTTTGGGATTTAGCCATCAGTCAATAATGGTGGTATTTTGGAGAAGCCAATCATATTATTTGTGCTCAGGTATTTTTTTCTTGTTTGACTTGATTATTATTGCAAACATTTTGTATGCAGACCTAATTTGTAATGAGGCGGCAATATTTGCAGGTCACCTATATTTAAAACCGATTAAACACAAACGGAGCCAAAAATTTTGGTGGAGTTCAGAACTGCAGATTCCAGTGAAGTCAAATATCCACAGGTGCTGGAGTGTGAATGGAAGTCCAATTTTTGCTGTCGCCATAAAAATGTTCTAACCTAATGTTTAAATAGTCTTTATTATTGCTACCAACTGTTTTTTTTATCACAATACCACACTTAACTTTATTTAACTTTTACCTGAAACTGAGGTATTTTCTACCAGCTTTTCAGGTGTTAGACTCTACAGATTTCTTGTCCTACCCTCTCAGACCAGTGTCGTTAAAGCTGGTCTGGCTGTTTGTTACTAAATTAGGTCTTTAATTCTATCATTTTCTGTGCATTGAACAATATATTAAAAAGCATTTTGAAGCTAATCTGCTTCCTTATTCGTAATCCATCACATTCTCCTCCATACTGCAATCTTTATTCTGACTGATCAGTTCGATCTAAACATGTTTTTTTTTATCCATCATTAGATGTGCATCATTCTTTCTAGCCAAGAAAAAGTAATGCATAAAGTCATGAAACCATTGCTGTCAACACATTGGTTGTGATATTAAACATTCATTTATTTCAGTAACTGATGTCAAAAAATTAACAATTTCAGTTTTCCAGGTAATAGGAATACTACATAAGACCAGTAGGATGTATAACGGTATAGTGGAGGATTTTCATGAAAATTTGAAAAGATCCGCCCACTCCACTTAAAGGAAAATTCCGGTTTTTAACACTTTTAGCCCATTTTCTGTAGTGTCCAGGATGAAATCGAATGATCGACACCAAAATTTTG